TTTACTAAAAAAAAGAAAAATCAAGCAAACAAGCAAAAAAAATCCCCCCAAACCCACAAAACACAAAAATACTTCTTCATTTTGTAAGTTTACAGCTGGTGCTCTCCAAAATTGCAATTTCTTTCCTGGGTCTGATCAGCTGCTATGGTTTTCCAAGTCTTTCAAAGAAGGCCTGAAGGCCTCTTCAAGATGGAAACACAGGCCTCATGGCTACGTGAACCTTCACATAGTTGACTCTAGGAAGCATTAGGAAAATATAAAGCCCTACCAACACCCAACCCATTTTTCTACACGTGAAAAATATTCCTAGCTCAGCATAGGCAAATTTTTCAAGAGCAGGCAACCTGGCAATTAGCCAAAATACTATTAAGTGCCCCCTCCTCCAGCTGTCATTAGTATTCAGATCTCTCTCTCCCTTGTTGCCAGGTATACCTGGGAGATTCCATGCAGGGAGCAGCCTAGAATGCGTTGTTATTATACATAACATGCTGTAATATCTTTTGATTATTGTAATGTCAAGTTTTCTATATTTTTGCAGCTCAAAAGGACTCACTTGGCCCAGGCACAGAGCAGGGACCTGTTGTGCAAGATGATGTAACCACGCTTTTTTTATTAAAACCAAAACCCATTCCCTGCCCCCACAGCTTCCAATGTCAGTTACCGCAGCACATGCTGGGCAGACAGAACAAAGAAATGGGGAGAACGGACAAGAAAACAGGAAGATGAGAGAGCAGCAAAACAAATCTCGGTATGAGGACCAGGCACTGTGAGTCATCTCCTGCCTGGATGGAGAGCAGAGCACTTATGAGCCATTAAAAGTAGATGAGATTTCTAAGTGCTCTAGGTCAGATACCACTGGTAACACTAAGCAAAACTTGGGTTTTGAAGCCTTGAGGCTAGAGGTGGTGGGGTTTCCTTGGTAGAAGAATGCAGACTGTACTTGGACTGATGGGCAGTTTTCAGATATCTCAGCTTCTGCTCATGATCACAAGGACCTTCTTACTGGCAAGCAGGGCAAGAGCCACCTCCTGTCTGCCCTGGGGCACTGTTTGTCTACAAGTGAGGTCCTCAGAAGGAACGCACTGTTCTATGACAAACCCAAATTCAAGAAGTTGGTCTGTATTTTTGCCTTGAACATTTATCTCGGCAGCAACCAAGGTACAGCCAGGTACAGGTCACCAACAGTCCTTTGGGAGACTCCAGTTCTTGTGAGTCTGAATTTTGTCTGAATGCGAAATTTCTCATAAAGCACACTGCAGTCCAACACCCAAGTCTCTGCATGCAGATTGCTTCCAAACCAAACTGAAACACCCAACAACAATCAGTGTTTCAGGAAAAAGAAATTTAAAAAAACCATAGAAACAGTTTAGGTGAAAGGAATGTAATTACACACTCTGATGAACAGTTCATGAAGATCAGCAGTGTACACAGAGGAAAAATAAAGGAGAA